TCTTACAAGGGCCTATTGGAGATGCATCTAATCAAACTCTTCATGAACAGCCATTGATTGAACTTATTCCCATACAGTCAGAAATAGAGTTATTCGTTAACAATGAAGTTATAAGCAATCTTAGTACTCAGACCAGCAAATGCTTTATGAGTACTATGTCGGTATCTCAAAAGGTTTAATTTCGAAAAAATTTCTTGCAAAAAAACCTGGACCAGTTTGTCAAGCTAGATAGCTAACTTTGGCTCTTAGAATAATGGTTTATGTTAGGTCTGATAAACCATCTTCTGAGTTATTAGTAATAACTAAATATATTGTTTAAGTATATTGTGTAATGTGGTTTGCTATTAAGCACTCTGGAAAATACAAAGATGCTCCTCAACTTCTTTACAAAACCATTGAATTAGTCAAGCTTCAAGATACCAGGATTCAGAGCATTGTTTTTAAGAACTTACAAGGAAACTCATATTGTTGTTTGTAAGAAAATTTTCTGTACTGCATGCTGCTGGATGAAAATCAGAATATAAGAAACCAAGCCCTCAACCAAATCCTAAAAATCAGAGCATGGAAAGAAGACATTAATTTTAAAACAAAGCTTAAGCTGAAATCTATAATGAAAAGAAATTTTGATGCTAATTCTTGTTTCTGTTGATGATATTTAGGTTGAGCCCCCAACAACTTTTAGCATAACGTCTGAAAATCTGAGACGGGGTATTGAATCAAATCTAAAACTCTTTATATTTGACATGCCAAACAATTCTTAATCTGTGGAGAGAGCAGTAAAATTAATGTCTGAGGCATCTAAACAAGTTTATGGTCAATAAAAGCAACACAAATTCATTTTGACAAAAAATTCAAGTCAAAAAGAGAATAAAAACGTAAGAAAGTGTGACTATTTTATAAAATGAATATCTAATATTTCAGTTATATTTTATGTTTCTTTGACTGCTGAATAAAATATTAATTTTAGGCAATATTCAATGTTTAGTTTATAAAATTCCTAATTACATAGACCTCCAGGATTGGTTTTCTAGGAGGGGGGAAGGCGTGCAGTGAGGGAAATGCAACAAGGCTCCACAATTTGGGGACTGATATAAACAGTCATGAAATTCTCAATAAAACGTTTTTTTTTTTTAATTTAAATAACTTTACAATTATTTCAAATGACTAAAATACTAAAATAATAATAAATAGTATATTACTAATAAATAATAATAAATAGTATATTATACTTATTATATCTTTTGGTAAATATAGTTTTAGATGTCTTTTTGAAATAGCTAAAAATTGAAAAAAATGCAATTATTCAATCCATTTTCCCAAAGAGAATGTAACTTTAAAAAAAATTTGTGTTACTAAGATTGTATTACACAAATGCCAGGGTGACAGAGTGCCAGGCTGACTCTTTATGATTTAAAAAAAAACAAACATCTTGTAGGCAGTGGCTTAATCCTTTGCCACACATTTTGATAGCAATTCAGCCAGGATTAAAGAATCCATCTACTTTTATTTGTTTTTTTTTTTGAATTTCTGCAACCAATGTTTTATCTAACTTCTCATTTTTTAATATTATACTATGGATAGTTCTAATGTATTAGACCAGATCTGCTTGAACCTTTGCATTTTATGAAAGAATTGCACAGAGTACATTTTGCTTCACTAGCTTAACCATATAACTTTTTGAAATACTTCCAGACAGAAGAGATTTGTTTTGGCATGTTTTTTTTTTTTGTACTTATCTTTTATTGGTTATATATATGAAGTAAAGAAAAATTAATATATTGCAAATAAAATTACATTACTTGTATAGTATTTATTAATAAGTAAATATATTAATTATTATAATTAAATGTATAATTTTTATAATCCTAGACAATTTATTGTTTCTTAGATATAAACTATTATTATAAAAACTTAAGTTAACACTAAAGCTATTATATGCCTTCATTCATGAACTTCTTCATGCGGAAATAATGTCCAAAGGAATAGTAATTGTTAATACTATTCCAAAAATAGTTATACCAATTGATCAAAGGGAATTGGAGTTTTCTAATAATACCAAAAAGTACCTAATTAGTAAACAATACCAAAAAGTAACTAATTAGTAAAAAATTTAACAAACTTGTGATTTGTAAACAGCATAGCAAATAACTTCTATTTTTCGTAATTCATTTACAACATTCAAATACTAAAAGTACAATGTGCAATATGCTATCTTTATTAAGTTCAAATTGTTAAAAATTTAGAAACCGTAAAAAACCAGTATTGGGAAACGATTTTGGTATTGGAAAAAGTTAGTTAAACATTGGTTTTCAATACCGGTATAGAAAACCGTGGAAACACTAAAGGTCTAACAAATTTTCCTTATGTGGTTGTTTGAAATAATAGAAAGAATTTTAGGGTTCTCTCAGTTTATTTTATTATTACAATGTTGTGTATGCTTTACTATTCCAGATGTATCACAGTTGGCTTTTGTAACATTGTTTTTATGCTCTTGAAAATGTACGGAAATCTTTTCTATTATTTCACCAATATAACATGTACCACATGAGAAATCAAGCTGGTACATTCCTGGATGAATATTTGAAAGCAATTTAAACTTATTATGGCAAGTATATTGATTAAGGGATTACCAAAACAAAAGACTTTTTTAATGCCAACTTTACAAAATTCTCTTCCTAATAACAAGGATTAATTTTGGAACCCAGGGTGAAATAACTCGATTTTTGGTATCAATTTTTTAAGAATAAGATCATTCAAGATGATTTGAATGTTATGTTCAGAAAAATAAACATAACATTCATATGTTCATAACATTCAGGTGATATTGCTGATGATTTGAATGTTTAAAACATTCAAATCATCTTAATTGTTATGTTCTATACAAATTTTGTATGCTTTAACTAAAACTCTAACTTCAAAAAGTGAGCGGATAAAAATGGCGGATTAAACTTTTTTTTCCTTAGGAGCAGTACAAACACTGCACGGTCATAGGGGTTTAGTTTCCTGAAGGATTATTTTGTCTCAATGTAGCTGATATACTTGGTGCAAGATCAATTTCCAGAGTAGCATATCCATTCATTTGCTACATCATGTAAAAATAAATTGTAGAATACATTCATATTTTATTGCAAAGCAATGAGCCAATGAACTGTGTAATATTCGTAGTATTACTTAATTCTGTTTGTAACAAGAATTAGACAAAATTAGCTGTGATATTTCTTATCAAATATACTCTTTTATGCATTTCCAAATTTAGAAACAAAGTACAGAATTTTTATACATGATGTAGTTAGAAAATAGATATGAAAATATAATTGATTCTGTACCATGTACATAAGCTAAAAGATTGTCCATAAACTACGCTTTGCGTAGTTTATGTTCAATTATTTTATATTAAATCAAAACACAAATTTTCCCACGCAGAGCTTTTAATTAAACAAAAAATTAAATTTGCTCTTTATGTTTAGCTATAATGTTACAATGTTGTAATTCAAATTGTTTTTAAATAGTACTTTTAATAAATTTTCAGTTTTTATAATTCATATAATTTTTGATTTTTTTAAATTTAAAAGGGAGATTTACCCATTATTATCATCCTCACATATAAAATTTTTTTAGTTAAAAATTTATTGTAGGTTACTTTGTTTACTCTGTAAATATGTTGCTAATTTTCTTTGTTAATAAAGAAAGTTGTTAAGAGAAAAGTCTAACAGATAGAGTCAACATATTTGACATAACTAGTTCCCATGACCCGTTTTACATGTCCTTGTTTGCTAGTAATATATATTAAACATTATACTTGTGTATAATATTAAAAAGTGGTAATTTAGTAATTTTTCATAAATAAAATACTGTACCTCGCAGGGCTTTTAATTAAACAAAAAATTAAATTTGCTCTTTATGTTTAGCTATAATGTTACAATGTTGTAATTCAAATTGTTTTTAAATAGTACTTTTAATAAATTTTCAGTTTTTATAATTCATATAATTTTTGATTTTTTTAAATTTAAAAGGGAGATTTACCCATTATTATCATCCTCACATATAAAATTTTTTTAGTTAAAAATTTATTGTAGGTTACTTTGTTTACTCTGTAAATATGTTGCTAATTTTCTTTGTTAATAAAGAAAGTTGTTAAGAGAAAAGTCTAACAGATAGAGTCAACATATTTGACATAACTAGTTCCCATGACCCGTTTTACATGTCCTTGTTTGCTAGTAATATATATTAAACATTATACTTGTGTATAATATTAAAAAGTGGTAATTTAGTAATTTTTCATAGATAAAATACTGTACCTCGCAGGGCTTTTAATTAAACAAAAAATTAAATTTGCTCTTTATGTTTAGCTATAATGTTACAATGTTGTAATTCAAATTATTTTTAAATAATACTTTTAATAACTTTTCAGTTTTTATAATTCATAAATTTTTTGATTTTTTTAAATACAAAAGGAATATTTACCCATTATTATCATCCTCACATATACAATTTTTTGAGTTAAAAATTTATTGTAGGTTACTTTGTTTACTCTGTAAATACGTTGCTAATTTTCTTTGTTAATAAAGAAAGTTGTTAAGAGAAAAGTCTAAATCATTTACCTATTTTGTACACCTTAAAACAACAGAGAAATTAAAAAAAGAAAAAAAAATATTGAACTCTACACAAACAAGATGTTATTATGTCCTTTACAAAAAAACCAATTTACAATAAAACTATATCTAATGTTTTTATTGTAAAGCAATGAGAATAAGAACAATATGAATGAAAACAAACTCTGCATCAATAGAACTGCAATATGAATGAGAAAATACTCTCAATAAACTACTTTTAAGAACTACAAGATTATAGAAAATAGAAAACGTCACTTTCAAGTGATTTTATGTATTATCGTCAATAAACTGTTGCCGCTTTTGCAAATAATAAAGAGATTATAAAGTTAAATAAAAGAATGCTTTTTAAATATTAAAATAATATGGACAAAAAATACTCTTACTTACATCAACTTGTTGGTGTTTAAGTTTCGATTTTCCTAGACCAATACTTTGAATAATCTTTTTAATAATACCTTGCTTTAACAACTAATAACAAAAAAAAAAACATTTTTTTTGAAAACTTGATAATGACAATTTATTGATAATTATACAACACCCATTATAAGCTTATTTATACAACTTGATATATAAGTTGATATATAAGTACCAGGAAAAACATCTGTAGTACAAATATTACAGATGTTCTTCCTGGCAACAACCTTTTTTAAGATTTACGAGTTCCACCAACCTTTACTAAATATTAAAATAAATGTGTTTCATCGCAGTTCATCAATTTGAAGATGCTACATTTTTGCTCAATAAAGAAATATTATATGGGTTACTGCTTAAGACATTTCATATTTTTTTGTACCTAGCATCTTTTGATGAATGGAATTTTGTACTCATCATCTTTTGACAAATGCAATTTTATTTGGGCTGTTGTTGCATAACCAACATGAGTATTAAAATTTAACCTCAACTTATTTTAAGATTAAATCTGAATTTTAATAAAAATTGTTTATCTATACTTTTCAACCATATCCCATCTGTTTTAGTAATACTAATTAAACATTTCAAGATGCAATTATTTTTTCATATTATGAATAAAAAATTTTTTGCAACTTTTTACATTTATTACCTATTACTTTAAAGTTAAATTTACATATATATGTATATATAGTAGCCCATCCCATTTTGACTCTCATGAACAAACTTTATTACAGGGAGTGGCATAAAATATAAATTCTTCTGATCTCATACAGTTTACCCACTTCATGCCCTAGCAATTTAATGGGGTTTGTGCAAGATTAACTAAGTTTAATGGCTGGCAATTATTTTTATTAACCTCCTGTCATCATGTCGAAAAGCTTCATATAGCGGTACACATAGCGGTAGCCGTAACCTCCTGTTACTCGTGCCATTAAAATTTGTTCCACAAAGTATTTTAATGACGAAATACAGTTTTTAGTGAACATGTTTGCAAAAAATGGATACGATAGATTAAAGCTTGAAACAACTGCTAAAAACAATATTCAGAAAAAAAATAACCTTTCTAAAATAAATTATAGTAAAACAGAAAAAAGTAAATATACAGTTAAGCCTCCATGGCTCCCAAGAATAAATTCAAAACTTAGAAAAGAACTCAAACCTTACGTCAGAATAATTTTTACTACACTACCTACGTTAAAAAACATCTTATGCAACAACAAGTCAAAGTTAAATCCCAATAGCAATCCCGGTGTCTACAAACTCACATGCTCTTGTGGCAGTATATAGATTGGCGAAACAAAATAGAAAACTTTAACGAGATGCATTGAACATAAAAAAAACAATTTAAAAGGTAAATGGGATGCATCTTGTGCAACCAAACATAGTAGAAATTGTAATGGTATGTTTGATTTTGACATGCAAAAACTCTAGCAATAAAATCAGAGTATGATGAAAGGAAAGTTAGAGAATCAGATAAAATTAACTACCGGCTCAACATACCAGGAAATAAAACACACTTTAATACTTCTCAACGGTGACAATGGCGTTAAAATTTCTACAAATAGTTGGAGACCTCTGTTTATAAAAATTATCATATTTTAATTATATATATATATATAAATATATATATATATATATATATATATATATATATATATATATATATATATATATATATATTTATATATATATATATATGTATATATATATATATATATATAGTATTGCGTACTAAGGTAAGCAATCTAATATCATACTGAAATAGCCTGCTGCTGGGGGCTTCAGTACATACATCGACTGACAAATAGCCTGACTTGCAGAGGAGTGCTGCTACATCGACTGAGGGTTTGGGATGGGGAAGTAATTGTTTCATTCATCATTCTTCGTTTTTTCTTCTTTTTCGAAAAAAAACTGTAAAGCTTAAGGTAAGCAGAAAAAGTGAGCAAATGCTTATCAAAACACGCTTTAGTAAGTGTATATATACATACATATATATACATATATATATATATATATATATATATATATATATATATATATATATATATATATATATATATATATATATATGTGTATATATATATATATATATATATGTATATATATATATACATATATATATATATATATATATATATATATATATATATATATATATATATATATATATATATATATATATATATATATATATATATATATATATATATATAACCCATAAAACAACAGCTGCGTAAAAACTAAATTTTTCTTTTTAATATTTTGACCTGTTTTTGCACAGATCGTATGTATTCACGTAGCAAGCTTGGAGCAGCTAAAATAATCACAGAAAATATGTGTATATATATATTATTGAATAACATTGTTAGGATCAATATAACGTTTCTCTATTTCTTGTTCTTTCGATCTTTCAGCATCTGATTTTGGCATTTTAAAATGTTGTTTAGAGCTTTAGTTTGCAATTCCCGTTCAGTTATGGTTGAAAAAAATAGCGAAATGTTATAAGTAAAAAATCCATGAAATCCAATGTACAACAACAATGCAGTATACTATAAACAACATCTAATCTAAATAAAATTTCTTTTTAGTTAAAAGCAGTAGCAGATTTTTTAATGTTTGAATAACATTGTTATATTATTGAATAGCATTGTTTAGTTTACAACAATAGATCAAAAGTACTTTTAAAAGTTATAAAGTTTGTCGCATGACAAATGACCTCAAAATTCAACAAAAAACCACTTTACAATAGACTAAGTCTTAATTTATCTACCATAATAAGTGAAAGATAAGTACAACATATTTCTTAAACTAATAAGCACAGTGTTTTGTTGGTACAGGAACACATTGAAAAAATATTGTTGCAAAAACTAACTGGATTTGACATCAGAATCTATTCGTACCAATGTCTGGAAATTGCTCTAAATTTAGTCAAAATTGGTAAAAAGTGTTATTTTGAACAATCGACACAAATACTTTTAACAAGAAAAAATAAAGAATAAAAAGGTTTTTCATATAAATATGACCTCTATGCCACTCCAAATAAAAATTGGTTGTTAAAAATAATTATAGGATTAGCTAATATATAGTTTTTTTAAAAAAAAACTCTGTCATAGCTGTTGATGGGTTCAATTTCAGAGAGATTAAACCCATCAACAAATACATATTTCAACTGCTTTTATATATAAAGCACTTAATGTGTCTTGATTTATGAAATATATGAAACAATGATGAATTAAAATCATTAATTAATGTTGGTTAAAAAAATTAATTTAACAGAAAATTAAAAAGCAGATTTTAATATATTTTTGTCTATTTTTTTTCTAAAAATTTTTCAGTTTACTCAATGTATATTTATTAGTGTTGGGAAAATGAGAACAAAAAATTTACACTGTTTGCAATAAAAATTGTTGTTGTTTCTTGTTTTTTGTTTTGTCTTGTGTTTCAAAGTTTTATTGAATCCACCAATGAGTGCTACAGCTTGCTCAGCAGAATCATTCATTACATTCCCAGTACTACTTCCTTAGCTTCAAAATACTCTTTATTTTGAGGCTAACCTTAACAGGACAGTGCAAGAAACCAGCATTCAATTGCAAAATTAAATAAAAACAATGTGTTTTTACTGATGAACTACTCTAGTTCTATGTCTTTAATCAAATTAAATTTTTTTTCAGTGGGTCATCTGTTCTCCAAAAAAATGTATAAAACGTTCCATTCATTTTTCAAAAGTTTAAACTAATTGCAAAATAAATACACTTTTAATGCATAGATCAACAATACCATCCATTGTACTAGATGAATTCAAGCTGTTGCTCGAAATGCTTTTTAGTAGTTGTTCTATGATAAAAATATATGATAATGAGAGGTTAAGAATCTCTTGATAGTCTGTAACCCAAGAAGATTTCTGACTAACATGTATATTTTGTTTATGTTCAATTTTTTGCAAAATTTCAGTTTCTGAGAGTAAAAACTGCTTCTTGTCAATTTTTTCCCATGCTGTATAAAATTGCTTAAATTGCTTGTGCCTTTTCTAGTGATGATCCTAAACATATTGTAAAAACAATTTCTAGAACTAATATGTAAATATGATGACAGGAGGTCAAGTATAGTACATCATGATATAAGTACTGCACTATCAAAGTGTAACTTTGATGTGTTTTGTATTAACAATCATAGTGTCAATTAACAACACTTTAACTTGCTTGAATAGATTCCAATTATGTTCCATTATGAACTTTTGATGCAATTCAATCCACTTTTGTGTTCCCTTCAAGATTTTTAACAATTTTCTATCTCAATGGATGGTGCCACTTGGGGAAGAACAAACTTTATTTCAATGTTCGTGACAACAAATCTTCTATGATGAATTATTGCATATTATTATAAATTCAAACCTTCCCCCTCAAATCTTAACACAAATTCCTATTTCAATTAATAATAGACTAAATTAAAACTCTTCTAATGAAATTATTTTTAACTCTTCTAAATGTATGTATGAAGATGCTCTTACAAAAAGTGGATTCAAAAATTTCAAGCTTAAATTTGAAACAAAAATTGCAAAAAAGTGGAATTGAAATTTAAATACAACTTGGTTCAACACTCAGTTCAGCAAAAAATGTTTCTACAAAATATTAGAAAAACGTTTTTAAAATTAATAGATAAACATTTCCCTCCCTCTAAATGAATGATAAAAGAATGAATCATAAAAGGCCTTAATTTTGCATTAATTAAAATTCCTAAAGAAAAAAAAACTAAATGAATCATAAAAGGCCACAATTTTGCATTGATTAATAAAAATTCGTAAAGAAAAAAATACTGAAAATTGTAATTGCAAACAAAAATTTGACTCCCCTATAAATGCCAAATGCTTATCAAAAAATATTACTTACAAATGCATTATTTCCTCACAAAGTAACCCTGATAAGCAATATATTGGCTTAACCAAGGGCAAATGGAAAAAATGTTATGCCAATCACAAACAATCTTTTAAACATAAAAAATACTCAAACGAGACTATGCTATTAAAATATATTGAGAAACTAAAAGAAAAAAATGTTAATTTTAAACTAGTCTATTCTTTAATAACATTTTCAAAAATTGTATACTATCTTTACAAGAAAAATTTGAATTAATTTTGAAATGCAGACATGAAAATAAGTACTATTTAAAAAATTCTAAAAACAAATGACCCAACTAAAATTCTTTTTACAATTAATTTTTTAATCTTAACGTAGTCAATGCATATAATATATATATATATATATATATATATATATATATATATATATATATATATATATATATATATATATATATATATATATATATATATATATATATATATATATGTATATATATATAAATATATATATATATATATATAACAGTTGGGCTGAAAAGTTCGTACCGTTTAATAGAAAAACACATTTTTTTTTCAAAATTCGGTTTTATTATTCAACATAGTTTCCATCAGAGGCGATACAGCGATTATAGCGATCTTCCAACTTTTCGATACCATTTTTGTAGTACGATTTGTCTTTTGCTTCGAAATAGGCTTCAGTTTCAGCGATCACCTCTTCATTGCTCTTAAATTTTTTACCAGCGAGCATTCTCTTGAGATCTGAGAACAAGAAAAAGTCACTGGGGGCTAAATCTGGAGAATACGGTGGATGAGGAAGCAATTCAAAGCCTAATTTGTTCAATTTTAGCATCGTATTCATTGACTTGTGACACGGTGCGTTGTCTTGATGAAACAGAACTTTTTTCTTCTTCAAATGAGGTCGTTTTTTTGCAATTTCATCCGTCAAACCCTCCAATAACGCAATGTAATAGTCACTATTGATGGTTTTTCCCTTCTCAAGGTAATCGATGAAAATTATACCATGCGTATCCCAAAAAACAGAGGCCATAACCTTCCCAGCCGATTGTTGAGTCTTTCCACGCTTTGGAGTCGGTTCATCGCGTGCAGTCCACTCAGCTGACTGTCGATTGGACTCCGGAGTGTGGTGATGGAGCCATGTTTCATCCATTGTTATGTATTGACAAAAAAAATCGGTTCTATTTCGATGTAACAGCTCCAAACACTGCTCAGAATCATCAATTCGTTGTTGCTTTTGATCGATTGTGAGTTCACGCGGCACCCATTTTGCACAGTGCTTTCTCATATCCAAATATTCATGAATAATATGTCCAACGCGTTCCTTTGATATCTTTAAGGTGTCAGCTATCTCCAACAACTTCACTTTACGATCATTCAAAATTATTTTGTGGATTTTTTTCACATTTTCATCGGTAACAGCCTCTTTTGGGCGTCCACTGCGTTCATCGTCTTCGGTGCTCATATGACCAGTACGGAATTTTGCAAACTTCTTACGAATTGTTGCTTCGCCTGGTGCAGAGTCTGGATAACACTCATCAAGCCATTTTTTGGTATCGGCAGCACTTTTTTTCATTAAAAAGTAATGTTTCATCAACACACGGAATTCTTTTTTTTCCATTTTTTTCACAATAACAAAAGTAGCTACTAGTTATTGTGAAAAAAATGGAAAAATTAGTTTGTGATATATTGCTCTAGTCACTACTAGAGCAATATATCACAAACTAATAATCTGACAGCTGTCAAATTTTTACACGTATCTTTTCAAGGTTGGTACTAACTAAAAATGGTATGAATTTAATTCTAGTGGCGCCATTTCTGAGAAACGATACCAACTTTTCAGCCCAACTGTTATATATATATATATATATATATATATATATATATATATATATATATATATATATATATATATATATATATATATACATAAAATAATTAATATAGGGAAAGTTCGTTTACCTAGGCTTCCTTGTACTTAGTACTCCTTGTACTCCACTTTATTTGAAAACTATAAAGTTCTAAGTAATGCTTCTCAGTGAGATAATTAATTATAATACATTTATTTTTTAACTCTAATTTGATTCTTAGAGAGCGTTGCTATGCCAAGTTATTTTTGAAAAATGCTTTTTGACAGTCTAAAGTAAGTTTGCCGCTGGTATCTTAGATTGTTTTACAATCCTAGAGGAAATGCTATTCTATAAGTTCTTTTATATTATAATGTTTGTTACTTAAGCACTAAATGCAATATTCAATAAGTTTACTCTCAATCTGGGTTCATTAATAGATAACATTTTTCATGAGGCTATCATTTCTTGCACCTAGGGCCATATAGTTTGCTTGTACATAAGGCCATATATGCATAAAAAATTTGCTTGATAATGAGATTGGCTGTTTTAGGACTATTTCACACACAGAAATACTTTTCAATTTTGCTCAGAATTATTAGTCAATTTTGTTATTTATTAAATTCAGATAAAACCCAATCTTTTTCAGCCATTTGTTATCGCAATAATTTAGAACTTCCTATATTTATGAACGGTAATTTACTTGATGAGCCACCCTTCATCTTCTAAGATTAACTCTTATTCTGATCTTCCTTAAAACCATATATTAAATCTATTGCAAAATTAGTATCTGCTAAGGTTGCATCTCTTTATCGTGTTTGACACCTTCTTACTCCGGATTCTATTCTTTATCTATATATAAATCTCAAAACCATCCATGTATGGAATATTGTTGCTGGAATCTCAAATCTCAAATCCATCCATGTATGGAATATTGTATCTGGGGCGAATCTTCCAATGATGCCCTTTCTCTTTTAGCCAAGGTGCAAAAACGCATTGTAAATGTAGTTGGACCTGCTCTTGCAGCCAACCTCTAACCATTACCACATCATCATAATGTTGCTTCTCTTTCTCTTTTCTACAAATACTATAATGGGGATTGCCCTAAAAAGCTAGCGCCTCTTGTACCATCTACTAAAATTTATTCTCGTGTTACTTGTCATTCAACTAGGTCTCATCCTTTTTTTGTGCCTGTTCCTATGTGCTCCAAAAACTCTTATTCATTTAGTTTTTTTCCTCGAACATCAGTTCTTTAGAATTGGTTTCCTTCATCTTCCTTTCCTGATTCATATAATCTTTTAAGTTGTCTATTAATTGTTATCTTGCTCTATAAACTTCCTCTTTTCTCTTCCAGTAACTTCCAACTCTAATAGTGGTTGCTTGCAGCCTTGTTGGAATCAAAGATGTTGAAAAAAAAAGTGTTGCAATTAAGTAACACTAAAAAAATTAGTTGAAAACAATTTAGGATTAAATAAATTTTTAATCAAATTTATGTTTCTACTTTAGTTGTCAATTTATTATGGAGTTAAATCTTAACTTCAGAGAACAGAACACAATAGCTACAAAAACATTTGGGTAGCTGTTTGCAAAAAACCATGTCTATTGATGAAACATCAAAAAGCAAGAAAAAACTTGTGTTTAGTTCATAAAATTTGTGAACTTGTGTTTAGTTCATAAAAATTAGTGGTAGTATAAGCATATGGGCCTGCATGAACTATGAAGGTGTTGGTTGTTTCTAACTATTTGATGAAAGGCTTGATTCTCAAAGATATTTAGACATAATGGATAACTACTTAATGTCTTCTATTGACATTTTCCCAAAAGATATGGTAACTACTTCCAATAAGATAATGCTCCATACTGCTAAGATTTGCATGCAATTGTTTGAAGAAAACAAAATTAAAACCATGTCTTTGCCTGCCAATAGTCCAGATCTCAACTACATAGAGAATTTGTGGTCTTAGTTAAACCACAATCTTGGTAAAAATGTAATAAAAAATCTGAACCAGATGAAAGAATTAGTAGGAAAATTAATAAATAGTGTTCCGTAAGATATTACTCAGAATTTTGTGAATCCCATGCCAAAACATATCAATGAATGCTTAAATTATTTTTATGCCTGAATTTGGAATTCAATTCTAATTTTTTGTTTAATAAACACTTTTGGTTTGCATGTTATTTCATTATTTCAAATTTTTCTTGTAGGAATAATATACCTTTTTTTTGAAATATTATTTTATGCTGTATTAAGAATTGATCAATTTAATATAAAATCATCAATATTTTTATCTTTTAGTTCCCATACGTATTTTAACAGCATGGTGTCTTTTGAATACTTTTTATTTTGAAAAGATTGTTTATGGTTGGCAAAACGTTTTTTTAGTCACCTTCTGTTATGTTTTTGATAAACATTTTATACTCATTGGATAATTGTTTTTATTGTTCATAAATGCTGTGAGCTTTCCACTTTGGCCACAAAGACGTTGTTTGACAAAAAATTTTTAGAAAATTAACAAAAGGGTTTATAAAACGTCCACTCATTGGACAATTGTTATTATTGATTTGTCTTTTAAAAATATTGAGCACTCCATTTTGTAGAATACATTTAAAAATATATATATATAATAAGTCTTTCAGGCGATGTGTGCATAAACATTTTTTTGCTGACCTGACGCCGACCTCGAAAAGATTGAGATCGGCAAATTATTGCCGACCTTATTTTACCAAATTCTGAGGGTTGTTTATATAAATCATTAATAAGAAAAAAAATTTCAAAATGTTTACAATTATACAAAGATTTTAAAAATTTACTCACCACTGTCTCTTCAAATTTTTCAATCATATGGTATTTATTTTCCATATTTAGAATTGCATTCTGTTTATCCATTTTCTCCATTTTGTATTGCAAATAGTTTTCACATAAAACAGTCTCTTCAGCATTATGTGAACTAATTGCTTGTTTAAGATGTAGTAAGCACCTAAGAAAACAATTTTTTTTAAAATAAAAGTTCAACACCTTAAAAGATTAATTTTTTCAACTAAAGATGTAGAAAACATCTAAAAATATATATATTTTTTAATAAATGCGTACAAGTCATATATTATAAATGTAATATAAATATAATAAACTTTATTTAATAAATATATAAATACAAAATATTTTACAGTGATTGATAACAAAAATTTATAATAAAAACAACAGCAGCTCTTTTTAATAAATACCTCAATTTTTCTTTTTTATCTTCAGGAAAATTTC